CATAACAGCACTTGACCATCTCTCTACTGCAGGACCAAACTGCTTTTTTTTACTTTCACATTAACTACCTTAGCAGGACTCTCTGTCTCCTCGTCTATGGCGGTACATGCGAGCGGCCCGTCGGACGGGAAGCCAATCAAGTAGTGGAGTACAAAAAGTATGTAAGACTTTCTAATGAATATTAAACTTTTGACAAAAACAAGAAGTGCATGGAGAGAGGAGAAATAGGGAAAAGAAAACATGCATCACCTAGGAGACGCCAATCCTCACAATTCCCATTTTATACACGTCATTGCCCGCAAGACACAAGACCCAAGACCCAAGCCCATTCTTTCACGACGAACAAACTGAAGAGAGGTGATAATATTTCCTGAACCCCCTTTTACTTCTACAGTGCTTCTTCCCTTTTCCAAAACTCTGCCCCTCTTTGTTCGTTCCCAATGCCCATGACGAAGCCAGGGTCATCCTAACCCGCCCACCTGGGCCGATATCAGGGGTCCAGCCTGATCTCAGGGGACTCCCCAGTCTTTGGGTCGTCGTTCGTGTCCCATGTCCGTAAGCCCTGGTAAGTTACGGTACAGGAGAGACGAGCGAGGGGACCCGGGTCCCTGGAAATTGAGCGTTGATTAGCTGGAGGGGCTGAGTCTCTGACCAAGAGCAAGAGGACAACGACACGAGCTTGTTCTCAGACCTTTTTTCCAGTTGAGTTGAGTTTGCCTTTTGTATTGGTCTGTCGTATCGTTTATATCGAACTCGGGTGGATCACACTTCAAATGAAGCTCGTGTATGTCGCAGACCTACCTCATCTTCAAGCAACGAGTGGTCAACAAAGCATGTCACTTCAGACGGTATGTATTCATTGCTTGGCCCCTCATCTCCTTTCTCTTGCTCGCCTGTCAAATTCGAGAAGCCTTACTAGCGCATCCTATTTCGCCTCGCCGCTGTCCCCTACACAAAAAAAACAGAGGGTCTTTTTCTTCCCAAGGCATCCCAGCTTAGCCTCATCTCGCCGTCGCTCGGTTGTCCAGTCCCCCGGAGATGGCGGCTCATAGATCACGCGGCCGACAGTCGACACCCCTGAACTCTCTTTTTTTAAGATGAACGAACCCTCGTGAAAATGCTCTAGAAGCTCCGGCAGACGGATCTTTCCCCCGGGTCTGTTCTCTGTTGGTCTGTCCGCGCAAATACGCGGCGGCATCCTTTGTGAACCGATCTAAGCATATATGATATCCATGTGGCATAAGATGTGCAATATTCTTGTAGATGAAGCTTGATTCTTGTCTATCTACCCCGTTTTGAATTCATGATTCTGGCTGTCCAACCTTTTTGTTGCCCACCACTTTGTAAGAGCACGTGTCTCGTTGAAACATGATGCACAAGAGTAAATACGGTCGGTCATGAGACGTCTTTGGCTACACCCACAGATTGCAAGTTGGCCCAGTTACGACGTTGTGATGTCTCATGCCCCAAGACCTCCAGCAGGTTCAGGATTGATTGATGTCTTGATCCCATGTTTACAGTCACCAACCAGAAGTGAATGTTTCATCAGTCAAGCCTAGTGAGGGATCGGCGTCAGCCGCTGCAACGCCCCATTTCCCTTTTCGCCATGAGATGAGCCTCACGGCTTTCTTCCATGATATCGCCACAATGACACTTGCCACTGCCTCAGCGCGGATGGGCAGAGACGAGCTAAAGAACTGGGTGAATGAGAGGTAAGGTCAGGCACCAACGCGACACAGGATCTGACGCTAGATCTACAATACCGTGGAAATCATTCCCAAAGTGCCATTCTATCGGCATTCAATATGCAGGCCTCCGCCCTCGCCTCTTGCCCGCAGCTACGGCTGCAGCTGCAGCATGCAGCTCGACTCGCCTACTCACCACTGACCACTCAGACTCAGCTCTCAACTCGCCTCTTTTCGCTGATACTACGGAGCTATTCCCGGATCTCGTCAAGCGACGTTGCCAAGGGTAAGTAAGAAAACTTGGGACCTACTCCGTATATCCTAAGTGACAAAAAGACTTAGGGTGAATTTAGGTAAACCTAGCAGAGACCTAGTATATTAGTTATTTTTGGCACCTGAGCTGGGCGTCTAAAGCTTTCTTGCTCCCTGACGTCTGCGTGTCGCCCATCAATTGCTTTGACTTCTATTTCACCATCTTGGTTTCTTTAATCCTTTGATGCTTCGCATTATAAATACTGATCACTTGTTATGGTTGGAACGCGTTAGATAGGATAGGAGCGGTTTTTGATATCTGGAGTGTTTATAAAATTACCTGCTGTCTGTGTGTTGTCGCCCTTATTCTTACTATTATCTAAAGACATTGTTCATGCTTAAGTTCATGTAATGAGATCTGAACGGACATCGGAATCCTCTTTTTACTTTAAATATGCAAAGTGAGTTACGATGCTTGAGCTACGAGCAAATCCATGGGTTCGACAATGTTGTCAAGTGTTTAAATGCCGAAGGGAGGTAAGAAAACTTAGGGACCTCCAGTCTAAAAACAAAAAGGCTTGGGTAATTTAAGGAATTTAAGATTAACTTAGTATACGAGGAGATCTTTAGACTGGACTTTTCGGGACTTCAGGGTATGATCAGAAGCTTGCATGTTGATCATCCTCACTGTCACCCCTAATCAGGTCGTCAGCATTTAGATTCTTACTGAACTTTAGAAAGGACCCCGAGGTGCTTATTGCCCTGAGTTTACAGTCTCTTTCGTTCAATTTCCCTCATCTTATCGTTGTGCCCATCTCCGTCCTAACACTTGATATGCCACAGCGGCCGCCAAGATGTCACCAAGATATGCATATTTACTTGCAAGCATCATATCGTCCTTGATGCGTTCGAGCTCAATTAAAATTGTTTGAATGTCAGGAGTCATGTTTGCTGATCGGCTGAGTTGCGAAGATGCTTTCAAGACCTACATGTCTTCATGCAGCACTCGTCGTGTTTCTTTTGGGATGTAAGCCAGGTCGCTTGGGCTCTGTCTTCGCCCTGGACGGGTTGACTGCTAGGGTAACTTGAAGAAGACATAAGTATCTGCGGTCCTTATTGATTATATTCCACGCCAGCTCTTCAGCGATAAATTCCGTGACACATGTCACAAGCTCTTCTGCACCGAGAGGGCTAAGATGAGCACCAGCTATGAGCCGAACATTGGCTCAAGAATGTTATCAGTCGCCTTAACGCCTACAACCGACTGTAGCTTTCTCGTAGCTATGCCCCCAAGCGTCTCCTCGGAGGCAAGGTCTATGCATGGGTCGACATGTCGACCATCTTGGAGCTCATCCCGAATCGGATTTCGTAAAGACTGGACACTGGGCCGAACGGCAACCCCAGGAGCCGACCATGTACCCAAAGTGATATGGCAAGAAATCAGTTGTCTTTCTTTCATCCAAATTCTCGTGATGTGGGATGGAATGGCAATGGATACGTGAGGGTCGCCATCAAAGTTGATGAATTCAGATGACTCGTAACTTAGCTTTAAGATGCAGTGATCAAATCACCTTCTACTGGAATTTGTATTCCTTTAGCGAAATTAGCAAAAAAATCAACTGAAACTTTACAGACTTCCATATTGCCTTGTTCTCCAATGTATCGAATGACCCCAAATAGCCTTAGCCAGTGTCAACAACCTCGGTGATATTTCGACACGATTTTATCGTCAAGTCTTCTACTTCCAGCGAAACATAGATGCACAAAGAGTCAGAAATTTAGGATGATTATGTGGAGAAAAAGTCATTATTATTCCTTTTTGTTTTTCCTCCTTTATTCTCCCTCTTCTCCCTCTCTATCTCAGTCATCCATCCTTCTTCGACAACAGACTGATGGAGAGGATGAGACTGGCATTCCTTGATACGTAGGTTGAATAGGCAAACATCCCATAATGGGGATTTGTGAGAAATTCCGCTACTTATCAGAAGAACATTTTTGCCGGAATTGTAGAAAGCTCACTGGGGCTCTAGTTCAATATGTAATACATCTTCTGTTCTTTAAGGGGCGTTGTGTGTTCCGGCCGAGTTGACACCGGCCCTACCACGAGAGCCTGAAACTTTAGATTCGAAATATAAGTCCGTTGGCGAATGCAATACAATGCCGTGAATGAGTTAGGAGTCGGATGCTCACCTTTTCTCAAGGGACTGGACCGTCTCGTTGGTAGGTATCTCTCGCTTCCTGGTGACAGACACTATGTAACCCTCGTAGCGGAATAGATAGTCAAGTTCTGCACTGCTATCTATAAAATATTATGCAAAACTAAATATTGTCGGGGCGATAATTCCCTGGTTTATTTCTCTCCTCTAGAGTGCAATGTGGAAGTGTTCAAGTGCGTTCCATACATTCCCTTCATACCTCCTTCAAGACACTCTTGCTCTCATAAATTCGTTTACAGTCTGTGGACTAGAATCATAAAATACCGGCCTTGAATTAACATGCTGATCAATCGCAGCCGCTTTGGTCTTGGCTGGGTGTTATTTTAATTGCTTCATCCTGTTCAAGAGACGCCACACAGCAGGCAAAAGCGAATTGTGTTCGGGATCAGCGTTCTGCTTCGAGTTTTGATGTCAACATTCTGGGCAGATCTATAGAACACATTTGAGATAGAAATTCTAACATGATACCCTCCGGCACATGTATGTCTCCAATACTGTAAAGATAAAACCCCCCCCTCACAAAAACAAGCTTGGGCGTTTTCATGACATCCTTCACTGGAGGTCAACCTAATTACAAAGAGTGACTGGTGCATCAGATACAATCGAAAACCATACTCGGCTGATGAAGTCCTGAATAATAGGTATCCGACATGTGTGTTGACTGGCTTCACCCCTTAATTTTGTCTTCATCCACGCCCTGGCCTGCATGTGCCCATTTCAATCATCACTAAAGACAGATCAGTGGTAACACAGACCAACGACATAAGAGTTCCCTTACTTGGCTACCAGCTGGGCTTACACTTTTCGTTTCATATGTGTGTCTGCTAAAGAAATATAATGCCGGGTTTCAGTCGCCGTCTGAAAGACGCAATATGAGCCCGAGAAGAATTAGCTCTTCATATGTAAGTAGAGGGTGTAGTACACCTTCCACGTATTCATTTGTATCATGGAGCCCCATTTTCGGGGACAGCCTCAACTCTTCAGCACCCATATGCTCCTTTTTTCTTCTCTTGGACAACATAGAATGTAGTATGACAATCTCGATCTTCGCCAATTTGTTCATGTTACCGATTTCCGGGTCAACTTCGACGTCATAAAGATCCCGATGATATGATGCCTGCTCCATGTATGTGGGATCGTGAGAAATATACTTTTGATCGGACGAACGTGTAATAAAGCTCGTAGAACGATCGGAATGGGACAAAAGAAACACGTCTGATTCGAGGCATAGTTTGGGCGACGTGACACATGTAAAGTGCTGAAACGCCGTATTCCAAGGCAAGCAGTTATTTTTGCTGAGGTCTTTGAATTCTCGCCAGAGGCCTCTAGTGTGATCCGCCTTGTCGTCTAGGGAGTGCCCGGAACCTAGAAAGGGGTTGACTTCGCAAAAACGGAGGAAATGGTCATGAAGGTCCGGTTGGTAAGAAGTGACAAATCGCTTCAGGTTCAGCATAGAGCTGCGAATTTGCCAAATGATTTCATGCCACCATAAATAAATCCTCTCCACCTGTCCACCAATTTTGGTTGTTGCGGGTAACTCGTGGCCATCAGTCCAGAAGCCCTCCTGCGTGGTCGGATGGCCAACGTGTCGTGCTAGGACCGCACAGTCTTCGAGGGAAAGCTCCTCAAGATCCAAAGAAGTAATCCAGTCTACTTCAAGTTGATGGCTGAAGACGAAGCGCCCCAAAGCAAGGCTTCTGAGCTTGGGCATTCCATTCCCGCTACCGATAAGACGTATATCAATGTTGGGGAACCAGCCCCAGTATGACTGGTAATGTAGCGAGAGGACCTGTAGGTTGGCAGTGACCGTCGAGGAAAGCCAGGTGAGAGGCAGTTGAGTGAACATCTCCCGACATTGATTTGGGATCTCAGTTGTCTCTGAGAATCTCCCTCCTCCCCACCTTTCTTTGTGCTGCGCTACGTCAAGCCTCAAGGCCTTGATATTTCCCATGGCTGTATTGAATTCGGGCATGTTCGTGAGCTCCGGATCATGGAAATCTCCCAAATTGGAGATTATGAGAGTAGATAGAGTAATCGGAGATGACGGGGTGCCCTGATGAGGGATCTCGATTGTTGCGCCGGAAAGTGTGTCGATGGGTGTTGACACTTCCTTGGTGAATGTTCCCATCAAAATGCGAAAAACACTTTTCAACACCCTACTCCTGAACTGGTTGGAACCTTCTTTAAAATCCCGCAATGTGAAGCTGGCGTCAAAACACAGATGCAGAGTCTGGATGTTTCGAAAGCGAGCTAGAAGGGGCAATGCATCCCAGAAGACAGGAAGGAACTCGAACTGGTCTTTCTCCATATAGTAAAATCCATTGTATACTATGCTGGAAACATCACAGCGGACTTCGCGGATAAATCCACTCAACTCAGACTTAGCGAGCTGTATAAAACGTTGAGGGTCGTTGTTGTCTTTAGCTCGGGCGAGTAATCGAGTGCGTTGAAATAGTTGTCGTGAGGCTAATGATGAAAACCTGTGGTCGACGAATCGCAGGTTCTTGATATCAGATTGTGGAAGAAACGAAATTACATTGCCGAGGTCTCTGGTGGTAAATGGTGAACCCTTGTAGCAGTGGCCATGCTGAACATGTAAGGGCTTCTTGCTTCCTCGCGTTATTGAAGAGTGAATTGGGAGCTTGGTGACGTGCAGTGATGAAAGTTCGCAAGCTGGAGTTGAGGAAATATCATCAAGTGTTTTGTTGATAATGGAGGATGTTTTGTTGATAACGGAGGAAGGAAGGATATCCTTCCGCCCGCTTTTGAATATGGAAAGCGCGTTCGTGGCGAAGGCCTTTTGCAGACTGGGAAGGGAAGCAGCAACGAGAACCAATGCGAAACGAACTAGTCATTGTAATCAAGATTCGAGTACCTATTTTGGAGAAGTGTTTCGATTGTGATTCACATCGAGCATAGTTAAGGTGTTACCAAAGCCGTAAGTACAGAAAGACTTGATGCCTTCGACGGGTGCGGAAGAACTGGTCAGATACTCCGTAGTGGGCTTTATCCATATCGCCACGAGATGAAAGTATTTTTGGCAAGCTGATTCTCCTAAACCGGCTACCAGATCTACTCTAAAACTATGTCACCTTGGTGAATGATTTCTAGGTTGGGACGATCGATATGTCTTGTTTGGAAGGTTCGGTAGTTGTAAGTCAGGTAAATGCTCGGTTAACAAGAGGAACAACAGCCACACTTCAGCCACAGCGGGACATGATCAACTCCAAACCGAGCCTGAGTTTCAACTGTTCAATACACAACGACTTCTCATCAAGTGTCTAACAAGATGCCCTGACTTGCCAAAAACTGAAAAGATACCGCCTCTGTACCAGCAGCTATGCAAGTACATGGTGTATCATCTTTATGGCATTCAACAATCTCCGGGTGAGACACAGCTGTGATTATGCGGCAACCCGTTCCAAGCATGACAGCAAACAAAGATGAGATGAGCCAAGTAAGTATCAACACAGCTCCTCCGCCAACACCTCTAGGAGCTTGAAAGAAGTCTTTCTTGAACATGCTACCTTTCCTCAATCTATATTTACCCTTTTTGAGGGCTTTGCAGCACCATAACTCCTGTTTTGGTGATCCCTAACCAAGGACCTCTTCTCACACAGCCTTTGCTGGCCCAGCTTGATGGCCGGGTTTATCTCGGGTCACTCAGCCAATGAGAAGCGCCTCTTCATCGGCAAGTGTAATGAGCAATTAAGCTTCCAGCAGCGGGCAGAAGCTACCTGAGGCATGTACCTCTGTACCATCCAATCCCGCACCGCATCTCACGCAAGCTCGCCCTTCGCCAGAGCCTGCCTGAAGAAACAACATCAGCAGCACCGCACCGCAGCCCGCTAAATTTCTGCCACTACGAACTCTCGATCCCGCGTTTTTCACATCAACAACATCAATCGCCATTTCGACCGATCGGCTACCGCGTTCGAACCCGTATTGATTCATCCCCAAATTTTTCATACTTTTATCTTACGACTTTTTTTTACGCGATCACATCGACAATGCCTGGTGGAAAGGGCAAGTCTTCTGGCGGAAAGAGCTCCGGCGGCAAGACGAGCGCTGCTGAGGGCACCAAGAAGCAGCAGAGCCACTCTGCTCGTGCTGGTCTTCAGGTGAGTTTCAACTTGAGAGGTAGAAGAGGGGGATAGGCTTGCTTTGTCGACCGATTTGCGCACATCCCATGTCCCGCATCCCACATATTTCAAGTTTCACGATCCGTTCCCGACGCGTCGAGCATCTCCGCACGACAAGAAAATCTCTTCAAATTGACAGCGCATTTTGCATTTGGCCCTCGCCGCGCGTTTGAGCTGATGCGACGGTTCGGCAACTGTTCACCGATATTCTGGGGCCGCTGTCGACGTTATTTGTATGCATGTTGGGGATGAAACGGGACATGACGGAATGCGCAAAACAAAGACGGCTCGGGAAACATTTCTATCAAGGATTGCTGGCTTCATTCGAACTCGTACTAACGTGGTATTTTCCAGTTCCCCTGTGGCCGTGTCAAGCGTTTCCTCAAGCAGAACACCCAGCAGAAGATGCGTGTGGGAGCCAAGGCTGCCGTGTACGTTACAGCTGTTCTGGAGTACCTGACTGCCGAAGTCCTCGAGTTGGCAGGCGTAAGTATATGAGTCATTGTTGCCTGGAATTAACGCTAACATTTCTACACAGAACGCTGCAAAGGATCTCAAGGTGAAGCGTATCACGCCCCGCCACCTCCAGCTTGCCATTCGTGGTGACGAAGAACTCGACACTCTGATTCGTGCGACAATCGCCTATGGTGGTGTCCTGCCACACATCAACCGCGCCCTGCTGCTCAAGGTCGAGCAGAAGAAGAAGGCCAAGGCACTTGAAGGCTAAAGACGCATCGTTTTAGGCTCTATTTTGCTTTTATTCTATGGGACTTGCGGTAACCGGTATATGGGATGGTAATGCAGAAATGTTTGAATTCGAATTCGATGGCGGCGTCGCGTCGAGATGTAGCGGACGTCCGCACGACCACAGCTTGGATAGCTGAGGGCGCCTGCGCTTTCACTAAGCACACGACGAGCTCTCGGGTCGGATCTAGAAGCCGGTACCCGATGACAAGAGGGTTCACGTTATGACGGAACGCCACTGTGCTGTTTGACTTGCGCGAGCTGTGTACAACAGTTGTGTTTTCACCTTGGTGTCTGGTCTGGTCTGGTATGAGATGCGACACGGAACCGCTGTGCTGATGGACTGGATTAGGTAGACACGGAAATACGAGTTCCTGGTTAGTCATCGGACGTTCAATGTTAAAACGAGTGTGGTTTGTTATGATCTGTTTGCGTCAGGAATGTGGATTAACGAAGCTATCACGTCCGTTCAAATGATGTCTACCTATTAAGTCCGCTTACTCAAAACAGTCGCTATTGCACCCATGATTTTTGCTATCCCATTCATTCTCTTGTATTCCCTGAATATCTCTTTCATGCCAGCCAAGGGGAGCTAAGAGATCTCGGGGCCTTGATTCTCAGTGACGAAAAGACTTGGGTAAGTTTGGTATATTCTAGTAGAGCTTTAGACCAGTTTATTCCGGTACCCTGATTAACATCAAATCATTTCTCTTCTATTCATCATCCCTCAACGTTTTCCTTGTTTTCTTTAGCTCGACTCGCCATAGTTGAAGCATACCAAGTATCAATATCCCTCCTGTACGCCGCCAATATCTCATCCTCATCGTCCTCAACGTCTTCAGGAGCTGTCATTCCCTGGTCGAACTGTGGAAAAAGCTCACAAAGGGGCAGCTTACCTGCTTTTTCATCATCCTCGTCATAAAATGTCAGGTGGAATTTGCCTCCGATGACCTTCTGAGGACTCTTCATAAGTGCTTCATAGCGCTCACTGTGGCACTGGCTGGGATAGTCGCAGTCTAGCTCGCAGTTCTGCTTCCTTTCAAGCATGCGCTCCAGCCTTTCCTCCGTAAGATGGGTGCGTGATTCGACTTCAAATTTGTATCTCTTTGCTCGACGCTGTACGCTATCCATGCCATCGAAGCTGCGCTTGATGCGGCTCTCCCATCTCTCAGGCCGAGCTTCATACTCTGAGCGAAAGCGCTTCCAGTCGTTGTATTGACCCCAGAACTCGTAGTCGTAGTTGTAAAGCTCTAGGGATGGTCGTTTTGAGCATTCACGGCTTGGGGGAGACTTCTCTGTGGTATACATGCTATCTGGACTATTGCTGTTTGAGAGGGGAGACTGTTGATACTTTCTGGTCGGTCTGCCGTCTAAGCTTTTGCCTGACAGGTACTTGTAAGGGGGGTTACTGTTGTATGAAGGACACTTAATACAGCGGCTTGTGACGGAGAGCCTGTATACCTGCTCGCATCTGTGACATTTCCACAGAATGGGTACCGGTGCTCCTCCAGGGGGGTCCTCGGGGGGAATGCAGTTGAGGGTAAACATTCTGATGGGCTCCTTATCCAAGAGGTGAATTATTGTTTCTGTGCCTGGATGCAAGTTTCGCGGACTGGAAAGCATCTAAGTTATTGTCGACGACTTCTGGAATATTGCGTGGTTGAGTTGCAGTGAGCGAGTATGGTTGAGGTAATACCAACTTATCTGTAGCATGTTGCATATATGGTCATATGAAGTTCGGGAATGAACATTATGCTTGATTGTTGATCATACAATGAACTTCCAAGGCATCAATAGATGTTCGTTCAATCGAGTTCAAAGGGAGCCGAACATATAAATCTTGACAAAGCTGCCTGGGAGAAGATTGCCATTGTCTTTGTTCCAACCTATGAGACCAGGGCGGTCGTGAAAGAAATATATGTGAACACCGATAATCTTTTGGATGTCTGAACAGCAAGCAATGTATAATAGCAAGAGATAATGAGTTGTCCACTGTCTGCTTTCATTTCGTGTTGTTTGATCTGTGGTGTCGTTGTTCCTGTGTCGACCATCAGGGCAACCTGCAGGCATGTTAATGCAACTCGAATATAACTTCTTTTTTCCCCGCCAAATATTGGTTTCAAGTATTGCATCATTTGATTTGGCCCTCGAATGTTTCATGTTCAAAACAAGTGTCTCCTGTGTGTCGTTACAACAGCCCTGGAAGTCCTGTCAAGGTCAACTGTAAACATGACTTCAAGTATAAGACACGGTAATCGATTAATCAATTACAATAATTCTGTGGTCTTGATATCTGTGTTTAGTTCTTGCAAAGTCAATAGGCGACGGTATCGACTTGCTTTACTCAACCAGCCCAGCCAGTGCCTCAGAGCTGAGCCCTTGAATCCATCACCGAGACTTGACACTTCGTATTATTTCAATCACTCGGCTCGTAATTGAAGCCATGTTAGCTGCAAGTGTTTTCAGTGTATCTAAATAACGCTAAAGTCTTGAGATAAGCGATTACCTCCTCATGGGTTGTCCGTAGCAACTAATCTACTAAGCTTTTATTTGTGATAAGGTAACCGTATCTCGCCGTCACCCGCTTGAATTACTTCAAGCCATTTTATCCAGTACAGTCATAGACCGATGAATCATTGAGAACCACTACGCTCTGGAGATATCTATGTTATGGAGGCCCTACAAAAATCAGTAGTGTGATGAAGCCAAACCAGAATTTCTCCGTTATTTATACGGCACGAGGTCATGATAGATTCATCATCATGACTCTGGCTTCTTGAAGTGAACAAAACTGTGACGCCTCTATGCCTCCAGCAAACTATCAAGGTGCTGATATGTCCATGGCTTGATTTTTTTGTTTCTCTTGAGTTCTCAATGGCCATCATAACTTGTGGTTCCGGTTGCGCCTCATGGATATACTTGTACGATCTTGGAGGGGTAATGTTATGCCATGATCACCTGTTGGGGTCATTTTCGAACTTAGCTTGCTATGAATACATGTTTGTAGATTGTTCTGGAAAAATGATATTTTAATAATAAGTGTTTTTGAGACGCAAGAAATTACCGTCAAGGTCTTGTCTTATAGATGTGCGTGCTGTATAAGATAGACACTTCGATACCTCATAGGTATGAGCTAAGTCTACTGGATCAAAAGACATACTTTCGTGCTCAGGATTCGCTCTCGCTTTCGTATAAGCGAGCTCTATCCGTATTAGCTTCAGGGTGTATACCTCAAACCGAGTGGAATAAGAAGAGGAATCATGTTACTCTGCTTGAACTTTGCCAGAGATTTGTCCGTTCTCTCTCGATACAGCTTGTTTTCTAGAAACTTACTCCTCAACTTTACAGAAAGGTCTTCAAAGCTTCTACGGGACAACGCTCCGATCTCGGTACATACGCGGCTCTTTGAGATATAAAGAAAGTTTATTTCCCTTAGAAGCGCTTAATACAACAGATACGGCTTTTATTACGAGCTTGGGTGGTGCATATACGTTGCCATCAAACTTCACGCTCCCGGTTTCGATGCCGAAGCTCGGGAGTTCATAAACTTTCACGGACTTGTGATCTACTTGATGGTTATGCTTTCTCGGTGTAAGTCCCTGACACTCACATTACGTGACTACCTCAAAACTCACGATGCAAGCTTCGAAATTCAAAACAACGAGTGTTTGGACACGTAGCCCAAGGGTTTCTACCCTGGGTTTGAGTTAAGGAGACTATCATTTGTCTATATAGAGACGAGATCCTCTCACTTGGGACATGATTCTTTTCTTCTCCTCATGCGAGTTTTGATATCATGTTATCGGCTTTCTTCCTTCCTTCCTTCCTTTCTTTCTTTCTTTTTCATTCATTCATTCATTCATACACATTAATTCATTTCAACATTTATGTAACATGATCCCACATACGAGACGCATGCTGCGACTCTAATCTATTCACCACTCTTGTCATAAGGCACGACTCATCCGTCTTGGCACATCTGCATAAGCTATCCCCCCTTTGAGAGGACCGGGCCGCATCAAATTTCTTTCAGAGAATCTTTTATGCTTCAGACGCCTTCTATCGGCAGGGACGGTATCCCAGCGGGTTGACGAACCACGCCATGGTACGCCAGCAAACGACAGATGGTACCGTACACGGACACCGTCAATTAATCATCCTCCCTCATGTTAGTCTACTTACCAGGTTCCATATGCGAACGTCTTTGGTCCTATGAGGCATCATGGATCAGGATTCCATATTCGCACTCATCTGGACGTAAAAGAGACACCGAGGGAGAAAAAATGAAAACGAAAACGAAAAGAGAGAAAACCAGAAAAAAAAGAGAAAACACAAGAGCAAAGCAGCCAGCCAATCTTCTACTGTTCTGTCAGGAGTATTGCTCTTGGCAGAAACAAAAGTCGCACAGCTCAAGTCAACTCGAGGTGACCTAGCCAAAACTCACGAGCGGTAGGCCGGTATCTACTCGAGGGGCAGAGCACGGAGAAGGTTTTTCACCAACTCTTCCAAGTGTCTCCCACCAGGTGATTGGTAGCCTTTGAAGAGACGGTGACGGCTGAGAGTGGACGTACCAGGCACTGCTTGCTGCATTGCTACAACTGATACTTTGACTCTTGTCGGGGCTGGCAGTTCGGTCAATGCTATCTGCTGATATCCGCTTGGCTGCTCAATACTTCGAGAGCTGAAAACGGTTTTCGACAGTGTTTGGGGCCTTGCGTGAGAATACAGCTGTTGAGCATTTGATCCATTATCATGACCGACACTCCAACAAAGACTAAGAGGATTGGCACAGGACATCACCAAGAGACCCAACTGAGTAGTGATCTAGCCCTCTCGAGGGCCGGGTTAAATTAAGAGGATCCTGGTGTTGTTCCAACGACTACCAAAAAAACAATAAAAAGATAAAAAAAAGCAATAGCCCCCAGGGGGTTACCAAGAAAACAACAACACGGAAACGGTTCAGCGGCGTCATCAGTTCTTACGTTTCTTTCTGATACCCCCAGACTGGCTTTCATAGCCGCTGCCGTTAATTCACCTCAGCTCCAGGGACTTGTGTCACTTTCAGAGAGTGGCAGACCTGTGAGCTGTGAGTGAGTTTGCAATGTTCTTGGTCATGAATATCTCATATGATCACTCATGTTGGATATAGCAAGACTTGGTTCCGATGAGTTGTTGCGGTTTGCTCTACAAGCATCAATTGTGGTCTTTCACTTGAGCCGCTTCTCAAGCTACCTTTGGCGCTTGAGGAATTTCATAGCTCTCTCTTAGGGCAACCAAAAAGCAGAGAGCAGTATGATCTGGCGTCCTTCGAACATTCCAAGTACCGCCCTGCCCCTTGTTCACACCTCAGATGCCTCTCGCCAGGTAACTTGAAGTGGCTCGAGAAAGACAAGACTGAATCAGTCTTTAAACCAAATCGGAAAGAAAAAAGAAAAAGAAAAAAGCAAGCTGCCAATTGGCCTTACCCAGTGGATATTGGGCATGTCTCTTGGGGGATAGGGTTAGACGACTCTCAACTGTCCTGACAGTGCATGGTCTTTGATATACCTTACGGCACGGTTTTTCATAGGGGTATGTATCTTGGGCCTGTGAAAGCTGAGATTTGGGCATGATGATTACTATAGAGTCAACATTATGTTATGATAGAGCTCGTGTTTCCTGCCTCTATCCTGAGCACTTCCTAGCTGTAACAATTGGTTGCAGTTGAAGTTAGGGGATGGATGGTGGACGAAGTTCATGGGTTGCCGATTGCGATTTGATTTGCACCAGAATGAAGTATCGATATTATTGTTATTGGGATACAAGGACTGTCTGTTCCTGCCAAAGGATTACCATTGGCCAGGCATATTTGTTTGCTGGATTTATTTTGCTTGGATGGCGAACGGCACCTGCGCCCTCGATCATCTTGCGTGTTCTGCAACATCATAAAACAACAGAAAAAACCTGCGGTTAGTTTTAGTAAATATACTGCAACCGTACATAAAAACAAGCGAAGCCATCGTGATGTGATATATGTGCTCCAATATGTGACATAAATTGTCGTTGATTCACTTACAACTTCATGATATCAGCCACACACCCCTGAGCTGTGGCCTTGCATCAGACTTTGATGTAGGGCGTCAAAATAAACTCAGCAAAAGGCATTCTAAATTTATTCTCAACTTATACTAAAATAATGCAAAGTTACAAGCCTTTTTGTCATTTAGGATCGAGGTCCCGAGTTTTCTTCCCTCCCTACCTACTAGGTAGTTAGTGTGGCTAGAATAATGTGGCGCTCAACCTGACACATACGAGACATTACGTAGCTGGATGGCCCAATGAGCTTGCAATCGCGTCGTGTCCTTTTTCAGCCAAAGCTCAGTTTCAAGATTCATGATTCTCCCAAGCTCCCCTTGTCAATCCCTCGAGCCATCACCATCCAACCCTCGTCCCGAACGATCCTCAATTGTATCCGTACTCGCCCGCCTTTGACAGGTTGTCGCTCGCTTCCCACCCGCTGCGCTTCCAGCAGCTATCTCTCAACTTGTTCAAGCTTCCTATCTCAGCTTTGCGACAACACCACCACAATCATGCCTTTGAACGTGTTCCGAGTCCTTGGTACGTTTTCGACAATGCGGAATCGACGGCTTCGTTGAGCTATTTGCTGACTTGTAGCACAGCGGATTTCTCGCATCTCGGCTCCATTTTCATCTTGCTTCACAAGATGGTGCAGCTCAACGTTGGTCCTCCCTTGTCAGACGCTGTGGATCAGCAATACTAATCGACTTCAGAGCTGCTCGGGTATCTCCTTCAAGTCGCAGACACTCTACATGCTCGTCTACATTACCCGTTATCTTGGTACGACTCCCGTTAGCAGACCCCAGAAGCGCATTCTATCTAACCTGCTTCAGACCTCTTCAAAACCGATAGCATCTACAACTTCATCTTCAAGATCATGTTCCTTGGCTCCCAAGGTTACATCATCTACCTCATGACCAACGCCTACAAGCCTACCAACGATCCTAATGTCGACACCTTCCGAGTCCAGTACCTTCTTGCGGGAGCTGCTGTTCTCGCCATCGTCTTCCCCTATCATTACACCATCTCGGAGATTCTGTGGGCCTTCTCCATCTGGCTCGAGTCTGTGGCTATTCTCCCCCAGCTCTTCATGCTTCAGCGCACCGGCGAGGCCGAGACTATCACCACCCACTATCTCTTCGCTCTCGGCAGCTACCGCGCTCTTTACATCCCCAACTGGATCTACCGATACTTCGCCGAGACTAACCACAAGGTCGACACTATCGCTATCGTTGCTGGTATCGTCCAGACCGTTCTGTACAGCGACTTCTTCTACATCTACTACACCAAGGTCATGAAGGGCAAGAAGTTCAAGCTCCCTGTCTAAGCGATCAGCAAGACACCAAGATACCTGTACGAAAGAGAGCATCAAGCTTTCAAAACACGTCTTATACGTTTTGACACTGTAACGATGAAGTAGCCAATAGGCAAGGCAAGACAAGACCACAGTTTTGGTCACGACAACTCCGGCTTCTGGAGATGCATGCACGGCGTTGGTTTGGGAGGTCAACAAAGGCGGTAATTACAATGGCGTCGCCGTTTGGCTTGGAGATTTTGGGGAAAAGGGATGGTTGAATTCAGTGCTGTACCAAGTCAAAATAGAGTGTAGTCTATTTGCGTTGAATGCTGCTATTTATCTCATTTGTAATGAGCTCAAGGCACCATACAATGAGGAAACGAAGAGGCATATGAATAATAAGGCAGGGAAATACAACATGCGAAACTACGAATGCTGGTTTATGCTTATTTGATTGTGCCTGGTTGGCTTTCATTAGTCCCTGTAAGCTTCTTGGCATTGTGCGGCTCATGCAAGCCCAACAATGGATTAACTACATTACCTAGACCATGACATCGAATCACGTGATTATCTCTCTTAACGCGTCGAGCATCAACCACTTTGACTTCATCTTCAACATCTTAATCCACATCGCATCATCAAATCTTTCAATATGGCTAGTGATGCGCCCGAAAAGCCAGAGCAGACCCCTCCTGCGCCAGAGGCACTCGCTGATGAAGCGCCCGCTCCAGCGATTCCCGATCCTCGATTACCAACTCACAAGGATGTCTCACTACGAGAGTTCCTGAACAAGATGGATGACTATGCGCCTATTGTACGCACCAGAGGCTCCTGATTCAACTCATCTAACGCTCTCTAGATTCCCGACGCAGTCACACACTATTACATGACCAAAGCCGGTCTTCCACCACCTCCTCAGACCGATCCTCGCCTCGCGCGACTCCTCGCCCTAGCAACCCAGAAGTTCATCGCGGACATCGCCGCAGATGCATACCAGTACAGCAGAATCCGCGCATCTTCAAACACCAACAATCCTATGGGGTCTCTTGGTGCAGCTGCCGGATTCCCTATCCCTGGTCAACCAACTGGTCAGCCCGGAAGCAAGGATCAAGCTAAGGGCGCACCGCTGGGCATCCAGCGACCGGGCTATGGAGGTGGTGGACAGGGCGGCAGCCAGAATAGGACTGTCCTGACTATGGAGGATCTTGGTATGGCTGTTGGAGAGTACGGTGTCAACGTCAAGCGTAGCGAGTTCTACCGCTGAGAACGGATTTGGTTACATGACTGCAAGGCGTTACGGTTCGGCGTTCACGGAAGGATTTGGGTCCGTACATGATATCAAATATGAAAACCAGGAAAGTCATAGCTGGTTACAATAGATCGCCTGAATATGCGAATGGATCCCTTCGTTGAAATCATTGCTCTAGTGATGTTACATGTAGTCTTTTGTACATGGGTATACCCAGATTCCAATCCCTATTTGATATTCTACCTCTTATCCCAAATATTAGGCTTTCGTGTTCTATAATCAGTCAGAATATATCCATCTGTCGGCTTAGACCGAGACTTACGGTGAGAATTCGCCAAGCTTGTGTCCAACCATATCTTCTGTAATGGTCACCTCATGGTAATCCTTTCCATTGTGCACCTCGAACTTGAGACCGACAAAGTTGGGCAGAATCGTAGCTGATCGAGCCTGTGTTCGCACAGGAGGCACCTTATCGCTGGAAGACTTGGGCCATACAATGGGTAGGCTATCGCATGTTAGAACGGTCAAAGTAATCGAATCGGTCGTCGGCTCACGGTACCAAGTGCGGCCCTATCAGCAGTATTAGCACCCAACAACATCACAGCATGGATATTGGCATACCCTTCCACACTGATCGCTTAAGAAGAACCCGTGTCGCGTGCATTATCGCTGGCACATGTCGTTCCCTCGAAATTTCAGGCCGGCATCACCAAGCTTCAATGCGACGGAGCAAGCCGGGGGTTGTTTTTTCCGACCGGTTAGTCCGAGACTTGCAGCACGTGACTACCCCAGCACACAACGGCTACCGGCACCTCTGTGCTTCTCTCACCTGAGGTTTAATATGGGCATTGCAAACGGAGAAAGAATCCCACCAACGAGATAAAAATGCTTGTTTCAACAAGAGTTGATCATTTTAATCATTGTACGACAAGTTGCGTCATTGATGAGTTCTACTCCTTATTAGGAGGACTACAAGAAAAAAGAAGTATCTTTTTCCAGAAACGAGTCAAGTGGCCTTGATAGAGTATTAAAGTTTCTGTCATTGGGTACCTAGTCTTGAAATGTCAGCCAAGGGATACTATACAACTCTACTCCACGAATATCATCTCAACTTTCCTTGCTTCAAAATGTTCAGTACCGGCAACACGGCGTGTTAGTGAAATATCAGGGGGGCTAGCTCCTGTTTCATCCAAACAAACAGGGAGCACCGGCAAATCAGTTACCACCAAACTGGGTCATGTTCTGGAGAAACTATTGAAACGTGCAAGTCGACCGAGTCTATTCCTATATGGGCTCACGGAGGATCAATAGTCAGTCTGGGTTCGCCCTTGTCACATCCCGACTTAATGAACATGCTACGAAGGGAGCTATGCGTAGTACCGCAAGTTGGGCCGAAGCTGAATGTGTATATATACTCGTCCATGTTTCCTGTATTTCTTGGCTCTGCTCTCCATGGCTCGTTGATCGATCCTCTTACAATCATTTGAAACAAGAAACGAATATCCACTCCTTCTAGCAAACATGCGGTTCACAGATTTCCTTCTCGCAAGTGCTGGCGCTTCCCTTGCTCTGGCTGCTCCTCACACTACGAGGGCCAAGGGCAAGTTCCTCTTCACTGGTTCCAATGAGTCTGGTGGTGAGTTCGGTGAGGGTAACCTCCCTGGAACGCTCAACAAGGACTACATCTGGCCTACCACGAGCTCAATTGATGTAAGTATCTTGACTTATATCTTGTCCGTCGTACTGACTATGGTAGACCCTCGCTAGCACTGGTATGAACACCTTCCGTGTGGGCTTCCGCATGGAGCGAGTGACTCCCAGTGGTATCACCGGTGCCATCGATGAGGCCTACTTCAAGGGTCTCCAGGACACTGTCAACCACATCACCAGCAAGTCAGTGATTACCTCTCCCATATTCACACAACTCCACTGACACACCCAGGGGCCACTATGCCGTTATTGATCCTCACAACTATGGCCGCTTCAACGGCAACATCATCAAGAGCTCTGACTTTAGCGTCTGGTGGCAGAAGGTAGCCAAGCGCTTCGCCAACAACAAGCTCGTCATCTTCGACACTAACAACGAGTACCACGACATGGACAACTCTGTCGTTGCTGCTCTCAACCAAGCTGCCGTCGACGCCATTCGCAAGGCCGGCGCAACCTCCCAGTACATCTTTGTCGAGGGTAACGCCTACACTGGAGCCTGGAGCTGGGTTTCCAGCGGCAACGGCGCTGCTATGAAGGATCTCAAGGACCCTCAGAACAAGATCATCTACGAGATGCACCAATACCTCGATTCCGACTCCTCTGGTACCTCTGAGACTTGCGTTAGCTCTACCATTGGTGCTGAGCGCCTCAAGGCTGCCACCCAGTGGCTCAAGGCCAACAAGAAGAAGGGTATTCTTGGTGAGACTGCTGGTGGAGCTAATTCCCAGTGCATTGCTGCGCTCAAGGGTGAGTTGCAGCACTTGCTTGACAACTCTGATGTCTGGACTGGTTGGTTGTACTGGGCTGCTGGCCCTTGGTGGGGTGACTACATGTTCAGCATGGAGCCTACTACTGGTACTGCTTACAAGAAGGTTCTTCCTCAGATCAAGCAATTCATCGGTGCTTAAGCGATGTCGTGGGCATGGTTTGACTTAGGGAAGAGGAAGAGAACGAGGTGACTCGTGAGGTCTGATTATTGTAAATACTTACTCGACGTAAATAGTTTCTTGAGTATAAATCAACGTTTCTTGTTTTATATACAGCCCTTAAGACTGTGGGATGTCAAATCTATATTGTTGTGATGACCATGAGAACACATTTACATCACTGTGACCAAAAGACTACTCAAGATTAGTACCTACCTTGTATCCGTACTACAGTTTTCACTGGCTATGTGCTCTTTATAATAAAATGGTTGGCTCTGGCGACCTGAGTTATCTACACAAAGGCCAAGGCTTCAAGTGACTTCATATCTAACACTGCCTTATGGAAGTCTTAATATTGGGCTATCGAAGATATTAAATAAGCAAAGCAACGTATAATAACCCTGATAGACCTTCAGATTGCATCAAGATATCGTAGGTACTAATATTGGATTGAAGTAAGTGGTAGTCGTGTAAGTGATACAGGGTAAGCTGATTGGTAAGAGTGGCATTGAGTGGTGGGGTATCACGTGGAGTCGAGACTTTGCGACGGACGCAATGGTGAGAGTGGGCGTTCCCCAAAGACCAACTAGGGATTGCCCGGTCGGAAAACACCAGATTTCTGGCATCCCCTTTGCATCACCATATCAACAACGCTTCGATTGCTTCATATTCCTCATGCGATTCGGTCGTAAATAGCACAAACCCGACCAATACGGCGTTCGCCTCTTCGACGACGCCCTTTTCTGTGCCATTGTTCTCTTCCAAAGAAGCCACTTTCCCTCTTCCCGCATTCTCGACGGCCAAACCTAAATCCTATTTGATCTTCAACACCACAGTGTACGACCCACGATTCGTACCTCGCAACTCCTACAGAAACCTAGCGACCTCCAACAACTAAAATTTCGATGCCCAGCGCAACCGCTTCCGGAGCTGATACGGGTGGCTCGGCTCGATCTCGCGATCATAAGCAGGGTAACCAGGGACGATCTTTCACCCCCGACCAAGAGGCAGCGGTCATTCGTATCCGAAGATGCGAGGCCACTGCGTTTTATGACATTCTAAATCTTTCGAGCGTCAAGGACACATGTACCGAGGCTGAGATCAAGAAGGCTTATCGGAAGCTGTCGCTTCTGACCCATCCCGAC